GGGCGTGGGTGTGGGTGTGGGTGTGGGTGTGGGTGTGGGTGTGGGTGTGGGTGTGGGTGTGAGTGTGGGGCGTGGGTGTGGGTGTGGGTGTGGGTGTGGGTGTGGGTGTGTGTGTGGACGTGGATGTGAGTGTGAGTCTTCTATTGATCCACATCCACACCCACACTCACCCACATCCACACTCACACCCAAACCCACACGCACACCCACCCCCGCACCCACACCCACACGCACACACGCCCACACCCACCCCCGCACCCACATCCACACGCAGACACCCACGCACACCCACACCCTTCCCACAGCCCACCCACGCGTACACTAAATCCATACCGACACCCAGTCACATCGACACCACTTACACCTCGAGACACTCATGCCCACATTCGCACAACATCCTCAGCTGCATCGTTCCGACACCAGACACACATCGACACCACTTACACCTCGAGACACTCATGCCCACATTCGCACAACATTCTCAGCTGCATCGTTCCAACACCAGACCCACACCTACCCCAGATTCCCACTCACATGCATACCGTTTCTTTTTTTTCTTTTACGAATTGAATTGATTTAAATCAAATGGATTTTTTCATTGTTGAACTTGGTAAGGGTGAAAGTACTTCACTTGTATTGAGTGTATTCATGCAGTTGCGTATGTAAGAAAAAATAGTCAATTGTCTCAGGCAACTCGTTTTCATGTCTCGTTTTCAAGAAGTCTGAGTGGTAGACACTGACAGTTTTTTATTGATGTTTTCACAATTCCCAATCGCATATTGGCACAGTAATCCTGGTCGAGAAGTACGGACTGTTTTCCTACAGGATACGGCAATTTTTCCGCATCTTTTCTGCCGATTGCTGCGGTGTCCAGTGGCCGGAACGACCGACATGGGAAGTTCCGTGATTTTTCTGAACACTTTCTGGAGATAGATATTCGTGAAATAGGAGTTAAAGTTTATTCGGAAAGTATAGAAACCGAGAAGCGATTCGAAACCGATTGTTCGATAGGCTTCAATATTCTGTTTCAAAAACTCTTCAAAGCGTGAGGATTACCGCTACATGCTCGTAGTAATCCTTTGAGCAGAAATTCGATGTTTTCACGTGTGTTCTCTGCTTTTGTTGTTCTAGTCCATTTGCTGACCATCAGAGTGTGTAAGTCTTGATGCTAGGAGAACTTCCTATTCAGTACTTGCTTCCACTTATTCACACTCTGCGCTATCTCAAAAATTCAAATATATGTATGTATATATTTGTATGCGACATAAGAAAGGTGAAATTCGGCCAAACTCTGAACTCTTAGAATTGTCCTCGATGATCTCATTGAGGCTCTTTTAAAACTTTTGGAAGTAAAGATAAGATTTTCGCATCACGAAATATATTTGTCTCTGTTTTGTCCTTTTTACAGTAAAGTTATTAATCGATCGCTTGATAGTTTGAAACGCCTGAGTGAAACACGAAAAGCAGTAATGGGGCAAGCGGAATCTGCGCCTACCGATTGTCCGATAGATTTTGACTGGATGTGGAAGTCAAACAAAGATCCATGGTCAGAATCTGTAGCAGCTGAATGGAGCTACTACTCGGATGTAGAAAATATCATTATCGAAGAAGTTTTTACAAGGAACCTAACTGAAGCTGTGCTGGATAGTTATAATATTAGTTTCAAAACTAGTGTTCAAACGTCGAAAAGCAATTACAACAACCAACGACCAATAAAACGAGTGGCACGCAATAGGAATAACGAACGTTTACGAGAAGAACGTTTCATGCCAAATCCTATGAGTCAAAAAGGTGTTTCAAACGATCAATTTCAAGGGGTTTCACTCTTTATAATGGAAGTCCAGAAGGATTTGAAACTAAAAGATAAACATATGCCGTTACAAGATGAAAAATCTATCCCGAAGTTAGTAAAGAAAGCCGCTTTAGGCATTGTTGAAGAAGGCAAGAGCGCAGGGAAACAGCTTGAAGCTGAATGGATAGCCGAAATGCTCATGAAGCGAAAACACATGGAAATGAAGGAAGTATGGAGGTGTTGCGTTCGTCTTTACTCAATGGAAAGTTTTTTGTACAAGAAGCTGAACGAAGCCATGCGCTTTGTTGGCAGTGACGAGCATGAACATCTCTGGAGAGATAAAATTCGCACGCTTGGTCCCTTCTGTCTGCTACTGTGGAGTAATCCTTTTAAAAGAGCATCATGCAAACAAGTGGAAACAGTCTACCGAGGAGGCAATCTGTCCGATGCATTTATCACTTCGCTAACAAGTAAATCTCAGAGCCCAAATGCACAAGGGTCATTTCAATCATTTATTTCGACTACTCGAAATCATGTTAAAGCAGAAGAACTAGGCAACACCTTGTTCATCATGCAGTTGAAGTATGCTGATCATGTAGATCTTAGTCAATTCTCTGATTATCCACATGAAGAGGAAGAGCTTATTTATCCAGGTGTCTTGACTTTTGTTCAAAATGTACGGTTTGACAAAGCCAAAAACAAACACGTGATCTATCTGCAGCTCGGACAACAGTCAAATGGTAAGTTTCAGCAAGTTTCTACATTTTTGCTATTAGCAGTGTCTGGATTCTTATTTATCTCATCCACGTCATGTTGTAAAAATATACGGCTTGCGTAACGACCTGGATACGTGTATGAGTATGAGTGCATGACTGGGTATGAGTTAGAGATCAGTGGGGTCAGATTTTTTACCCCCGAAACCCGGAAATAGTTTTTATTTCTTCCCGATCCCGACCCCGGAAAGCTCCGATTTTTTTCTCGTATATAAGTGACATCTAATATGCGTGGCATTATGTTGAGGAAGAAATGTAGACAAGTTTTAATTGGTACCCAGTCTAAAGAAATAAATTAAGAAAAAAAAGGTATCTTCTTCTCTCATTTTCCTTCGTTTATGTGTAAAATGAAAATATGAATTTCAAGTTGTTAACACGAAAAGAACTCGAAGAGCTCATAAAGAATCGAGATAATTCTGTTAAATATGTTCAAAAGAAAATGAGTGCTCATTCATCTGATCTATGGACTCATTTTCATCAAGTGTTCATTAATGATATCCAACAACAATTCATGTCATGTAATGTTTGTAAATATTTACTTGTTTATACAGCTTCAAATTGTACTAAAAACATCAAGACACACCTAAATTCATGCAAACAATCAAAAGATTGTATTAAAGACGTACGAAAAATATTTTTTGGGATTATCCGATATTGTAGGGGTTCCCGACCCCAAAAATCTTTTTTTCAGCCCCGATCCCAGCTGTTGTGTCGGGGTTTCCCTCTCGGTAGTGTGTCAAATGGCACATGCATACTCACCCTTATCCACAGCCTGCTATGGACGACTATATTTTTTCTTTAGAGATGATACTATCCCTGAACAATTCTGTTGCTGCGTATGATCGTCGAGATGAAAATGATTCGACTAAAAGACGTGCCTTGGCAAGCCTACCTACTACTACGAAAGCTACTGATGTTGCCACTGTAAATACGATTCGTACTCCTAACAAAGATGCTCCTGGCACCCAAGCTACTGACTTTGTTTCTACTCTTGATAGTCATATTCTTCTCAAGGCTATCAGTAGTGCAAAAACTGCGCGTTCCCTAAAAACTAGTGATCTCGTTGCTGCTCCTGATGATGTCCCTCGCCTCAAGGCTTCCACGAGTGTCAAAACTCCAGGCCGTCCAAAAAACAGTGATTTTGTTGCTGCTACTGATCGTAATGGTTCTGCCAAGGCTGCCTGTAGTGCAAAAGCTGCGCGTTCTGCGAATATTAACGATCATGTTACTGCTTCTGACGGTACTCCTTCTGCCAAGGCTGCTACTCGTACCAAAACAACGTGTTCTCCAAAAAACAGCGACTTTCTTACCTCTCCAGATGATACTTGTTTTGTGAAGGCCGCAACTGCTGTCGACACTGCATTCCTGCGAAAGACTAAGGAACGTATTGCTGTTCCTGACAGTACTGGTTCTGCCAAGGCTTCTAGTAGTGCAAAAACTGCGCGCTCTGTGAAAACTAGCGGCGTTATTGCTACTTCTGATGATTCTCCTTCTATTAAGGCTGTTACGGGCACCAATACTGTGTGTCTTCGAAAGGCTACCGATTATGTTACTTCTCCTGATAATGCTCATCTTCTGAAGGCTTCCGGAAATATTAAAACCACACTTCCTTCAAAAACTAGTGATCTTGCTGGTGCTTCTGATAGTGCTCCTCTTGCCAAGGCTTTCATCAGTGTCGAAACTGCAGTTCCTAGAAAAGTTAAAGATCTTATCAATGTTTTTGATAATCCTCTTTTTCTTAACACCGACGGTGGTGCCAAAACTAAAGGTTCTACTAAAGCCATTGCTTCACAAACGGTCGCTGGCAATACTACTAACAAAACTTGTGACGATGCTGCTTGTACTCCGATGAAAAGTTCTCGTAGTGCTTCTGCTCGTTGTATTGCTCCGATAATAGCTGATAATGCTAAGCGCATAGCTCCGATTGCAGATAATGCTGATAAGCGCATTCTTTCCACCGCGGCTGATGGTACTCTTCGTTCTGCTTCAAAGAACAATGCTGCTAATAAGTATTCATTAAATACGTGATCCCTGATATTGTGCAGAAATGAAAGTCTTTACTCAATGGTCATCAAGTTAGTAGAATGCTGTCTTTCTACTATGGTTGCCGCTGATGTTCGTCGCCCAGGTAATGATACACCTCATCCTGATCACAATGCTTGTTCCACTGACCAGAAAGCTACTCGTGGTAGTCAAAAAGCTACACGTAGCTGTCAGAAAGCTGCTCGTGGTGATCAGATAGCTGCTCGTAGCGATCAAAAAGCTGCTCGTAGCGATGGAAAAGCTGCTCATAGCGATCAAAAAGCTGCTCGTAGCGATGGAAAAGCTGCTCATAGCGATGGAAAAGCTGCTCGTAACGATCAAAAAGCTGCGCGTGGTAGTCAGAAAGCTGCTCGCGATGATCAGAAAGCTGCTCCTGGTGATCAGAAAGCTCCTCGTAGCGGTCAGAAAGCTGCTCGTAGCGATCAAAAAGCTGCTCGTAACGATCAAAAAGCTGCTCGTGATAATCAGAAAGCTGCTCCTGGTGATCAGAAAGCTGCTCCTGGTGGTCAGAAAGCTGCTCCTAGCGGTCAGAAAGCTGCTCGTAGCGGTCAGAAAGCTGATTTTGTTAGTCAGAAACCTCCCCGTCACGGCCAAAAGGTTCCTCAGCAGGCCCATGCAGCTACTACTGGTCTGCCGGCATCTATCCATTCGACATGTGATCTCCCACAACGCTAGTCGATATGAAACTTCACTCAGCAGTATTGATAATACTTGAATGCAGTTTTGGTGCTGATTTTGATAGAGACAACGCAGATTCCTTTCGTGGGAATGGTGGTCAGGCGTATTCTAATAATGAATCGGTTGAAAATGATGAAATTGATGGTGATGGCGATATTGGTGACACTAATCAGAGTGATGCTGCCAGTGACAACAATCAGACTGATGCTGCCAGTGACAACAATCAGACTGATGCTGAAGGTGATGATGAACAAGATGATGCTGCCGATGATGATGACCAGGAGGATCCTGAGAGCGAGGAGCATCAAGAGGATGTAGAGAGCGAGGAAAATCAAGAGGATCCGAAGAGCGAGGAGAATCAAGAGGATCTGGAAAGCGAGGAGAATCAAGAGGATCCGGAAAGCGAGGAGAACCAAGAGGACCCGAAAAGCGAGGAGAATCAAGAGGATCAGGAAAGCGAGGAGAATCAAGAGGATCTGGAAAGCGAGGAGAATCAAGAGGACCCGGAAAGCGAGGAGAATCAAGAGGATCCGGAAAGCGAGGAGAATCAAGAGGATCAAGACAGCGAAGAAGATCAAGATGACATGGATGGCGAAGAGTATCCAGAGGGTTTGGATGATGCTGAAAATGATGACGATGGATAAAATGATTGGTCCCATGATTTTTGTATTGTGATTACAGACGCTATGCATTCTAATTATATTAGCTAGACACATTATGACATGTCTTTTTCACAGGCACGCGCGTTGTGAGTATGGGTATGGCTGTTGCGTGTGGTTACATGTGGATGGCTGTGAGTGTGGATGTGAGATATAGATACGGAAATGGGTGTGAGGTGTAGGTGTAGGTCTCGGTGTGGATGTGATTGTGGTGTAGGCCTCGGTGTGGATGTGAGTGTGGGTGGGTATACGTGGATGTGAATGTGAGTGTGGATGTGTATGTGGGTGTGAGTGTAGGTGTGTGGATGTAGATGTGGGTGTGGGTGTAGGTGTGGGGTGTGGGTGTAGGTGTGGGGTGTGGGTGTAGGTGTGGGGTGTGGGTGGGTGTGTGGGCGTGGGTGTGGGTGTGAATTGTGGATATGGGATGTGGGTGTATGTGGGCTGTCATTGAAGACAAAACGGAAACCCACACCCACACCTCACACCCAAACCTA